CGCCGTGGGAAGGCGCCCTAAGGGACGCGGGTCAGGTACCTCCCTCTGCAGCATTGGCATCGCTGCGCGTCCGCTATTTTATTCATGGAAATTCTACATCGTATCAGCTCGTACCGTTACACTATTAAGAAATAGATTCGTTGACGATCGGTCCTCGCAAGACTGCGCAGTAGGTTCTGGTCAACTGAGCTATTTGTGCCAGAGGATAATGGTGGACCTAGTGCACATCATAGTAGGCGCGGCGCCATAACACTCATGGCTACTGCTGAGACAGCAGCTCCATCTGCTGAAGGCCGGAGTGGCTTGAGGTCCCAATCTACAGGGTCCTCTGCCATCAAGGCAAACTAGACAACGCATAAGGTGGGCGAACATCTCCATAATGCATGCGTACTGTATTAGCACAAAATTGGAAACGGAGTACAAAGGGTTTAGAGTAAGGATGCATGCGCAATGGAAAAGAATATATCGAGACAGCACACTGAATGAGAAACGGGTTTGCAGTCATTTAAATTCTATTGAAAGACGACGTGTGTTTTCAGATGCCGAATTGAATAAATAATAATAATATAATTGAATAATTGAGCAACAGATAGTCACGCAACTGCAAAGTAACACACCACCAGAGACTCCATTCCATGGCGAGGAAGTACTACTTGAAAGGGAACATGTAGCTGAAAATCAAGCGAGTTCAAATGGTAATGAACATCCCATCAATACATTACAGGAACCCTACCAGAAATACCGTGTTATGTACGAAGGTGTTCCATTACAGAAACGACCTCGTATACCTAACGTCATTGGGAAGCGAAATTTTATGCTACTTGTAAAGAAATGAATTCCATTGTTGAAAACATATTATCGCAAATGTTTTTTTTGGAGGAACTGTCTGACTTAGTGCACTGTGCAGTTTGCTCTGTTTTGGGCAGAAAAATTAGAGAGGAAAATGACACAATATCCAAATACTACAGCTCTAAAAACGAATTCACACTGACATGGAAGAAAATAATAATTTCTAAAACTAATAAATCCAGGAAGGAAATCAGCCATCTGTCAGTGTATTTCGCAGGAAAAGGAAAAGTACCTAAGAAAGTGAGAAAGGGGATACGATCAATTGTTAAAAGAATGAAGTTGCGAATGAGCCTGAAAGATCTGGATATGAAATTGAAAGATGAAGAACGTCTGAAGCAGAGAATTGCTGCACTCGGTACGAGAATTCGGCGTTATGATGAAGCAGCAAAGAGACGCCAGCAACAGTCAGCCTTCGGTTTTGACAAAAATAAACTTTATAGGCAGCTGCAGAATGGCAACGAAGACCATCAAGGGCAATTTCTGAGTAGCGAATCCTTAGTTCAGTATTATTCTGACATCCGGGCCATGCCAAAGCAATAGGAAACTGTGAAGGAGCCTTCTGGCTGCCGAAGGAATGAGAAGATTGTCGTAACATCGATGAGTTGCCTTCCTTTGAAGTTTCCCTTGCTGATATCAAAATGGCAATACAGAGAACCCAGAAATGCAAGTCGCCAGGTCTGGATGGTATCCGAAATGTATGGTGGAAGTATTTATCTGCCACGCACCCATGCCTGACTCGACTGTACAATGAAGCTTTGCGAGATCCGACTATATTCCCAAAGTACTTGTTGACAGGCAGAACTTATATGGTGCCCTAAGACTGTGATAGATCCCAGCCACGAAATTATCGACTGATCACTTGCCTGTCATAAACTTTTGACTTCCATAATCTCTTCAAGAATATGTATCATTTAGTCGACCAGCACATTTGGCTGTCGCAAGGGAAATATGGGATGCAAAGAATTTATAGCAATTGACAATGTAATTACGCAGCAAGTACGAAAGCACCAGCATAATATTTCTTTAGGCTGAATAGATTACAAAAAAGCCTTTGATTTGGTACCTCACTCATGGCTTCATGGAGTCATCGACTTGTATAAAATTGATCGAAGACTGATCGGTTTCTTGAAGAACTGCATGTCAGAATGGAAAACTCACTTGCAGATTAAGAACGGATCCTGCTGTTACGTGACGGAAGATATTGCAATTCGTCGAGGAATCTTTCAAGGGACAGTTTAAGTCCATTGGTTTTGTATAGCACTATCCCCTTGAAGCAGAATGCTCAGACAATTAGGATGTGGTTACTCAGTAAAGAAAAACTCACATGTTCGTATCTCACACCAGCTCCATATGGATGATCTTAAACTGTATGCTTCTAATAGAGATCACATACAAAACGAGATCGAACTTGTCAAGAGTTTCAGAGATGCAGCTTGTATGGAGTTTGGGATTGACAAATGTGCAACCCTTCATATTGAACGCAGGCAGTCCAAAACGGAGAACAAAATGTACAAATATCTGGTGACTCGGCACTGAAGACTCCTACAAATTTCTGGGAATGCAACAGTTGTTGGGAATTTTCGACTCAGACATTAGGAACAAGATAGTTCAAAACGTGCTATCGAGAGTAAATTACATCAGCAAAACACGGATAAATTCAAGAAGCAAAATAACTTCTGTTAATACTTGGGCTATTTCCATATCAACTTAGGCATTTGGTATAATACAATGGGCAGAAACATCCTTACACTTTTGACAGGAAAATGAGAACTATGCTTACAAGACTTCGACTTCACCACCCTCAGTATGCAGTGCAGGCTGTTCTTAACTCGAAATGGTGAAGGAAGAAGACTCCTTAACTTGGAGGCACCATGCCGACAGCAAGAAGAGGAGCTACGTCAGTACTTTCTGTCCATTAACTCGTCTGTTCACAAAGCTAACTGTTATCAGGATAAAAAGATGACACCATTATGTCTGGCACAACTAAGCAAAGCTTTTGATTACTTGAAGCATCAAGACCGCCTGAATATCTATTATTTTTCTTATATAAGAAGAGTTTTGAAACACAGTATCTTGGACAGAACATCAATCAAATGACTGTAATAAAAAAAAATTAAAAAAGAGAGTTTAGTCTTGTTTTCAGAAGAGGTTCCCCTGATTCTGCAAGGATTACATTGGTTGGTGTAGATTTTCTGTAGACTAGTGCAATTCTTAATGGCTTTGATTGTAGATCGATTTCTAAATTAACCCAACTGTGTATGAATCAGTGCTCTGTATATTAGCAACAGGGTACACGAGTCTGCTCCCCACCAAGTTCCACAAAAACAGCTCATAATTCGAAGGCTCATATCACATTTTTTATGAGACTAGATATGTGTCCTTTTTACTGCAATGAGTGATTAAGGTCATGCGCAAACAGCTGAAGGAGAGCTATGAACAATTATGTCATTGACATAAATATAAAATGTATGATCATTTAAATAGCTCTTGCTAAATACAACAAACTTACATTTTTTCTGGTGCTAGGATAAGATTTCTCTTTTCTAAATATTGACTCAATGATTCTACTTAATACAAAGCAATATCATTTGCATATTTTAACATGAACAAATCACTTCGTAATAGCTTTTCAGTTTGTTAGTGGAAATAGAAAAAGAAGAGGGCTCAGAATACTGCCTTGAGGAAGACCCTGGTCCCCTCCTGACTATATCAAATAAAACACTTCAATCACAGGACATTTTGAGAAAATAAAATTATTTATTGCTGCACAGCTCATTTTACAATGCACCACAGTCAAATATTTTGTCAACATGATCACAGGATAATTGCACCATAAAATTTCCCAAAACAGGGAATATGATTAATACTTTCATAAAAATATAGAAAGTACAAAACTTTGTAAGGCTTTATAAATTAATTAAATACACTGAATAGCACCACTGAGTTATCAAAGAACAGGTACAAAAATAATCGTGGTAAGATACTCATATACTTCAGTGTAATAGCCAAACAAAATATGTTAAAAATCTACAGTAAAACATGATAAAAACAATATCGCATTACAAATTAATGTGCTCTGATTCTAAAAAAAAATATCTATTATGTCTGGAAATTTTTAACCATATTTCTTACCAGATGCATTGTGTCCATTTGTAATGGTGTATTTTTAAGGCACAATATAGTAACTAAATTCATGTAACCACAATCTACACATTTAAAAGATCTCAAATCTGTTACAGACACAAAAAAACTCACTCTAAGTGCTCTCTTAATATTGATGAACAATTAAAAAAGTTTAAAAACACTACAAAAAGCTAAAATAAAAATCAGTACTCTAATTTGAAGTGAATAGGATCACGCGAGAATTCTTTAATATATAATTTAATTATTTCCTTTGTTAATTAATTTGAAAATTTAAAAGTCCAAGATGAAATTTTTCAGAAAATGATGAATGTATTAATAATGATGATGATGATGATGATGATGATGATGATAATAATAATAATAATGGTTTACGGTCTGTGTAACATTTATTGAGTATTGTGTTAACCAAAGGAACTCGATCAACAATTAGTGACAGTGTTCAAATTTTTGTGTTTCTCAAAAGCCACTTTAAAATTAATTTCTTGACACTAAGTTTGTTCTGAATGGAATTCTGGACAGAATTGTGAAGTAATGCTCATCATACCTAAAAACTATCCACCATGTTCCTGTGTGAAAAGAGTTTTTTAATGAGGACTTCATTAGAATGAACCATTCCTAATCACAACAGCACCAAAGAAGCTTGTAAACTCTTTGAAATTCCTTTCTGTTCTCTGTTCTGTCACCACCAAAGCTTTATTTCACTTTTTTCCCCTTCACTAATGAGAAGTGATGGGCAATCAACAAAAGGAATAAAAATTAGTTTTGAGCATTTTGTTCTTTGAATTTTAGTGTCTTGGATGGAATTTCAGTATATTCAATAACAAATTTTCTCTCCTAGTTTGAAAGCATGTCAATTACTACAGCAACTTTTTTATTATTTTGAAACAAAACAAGCTAATTGGTATTATTTGTGCAATTTAGGATTAAGTAGGAAATTGTTAATCATAATTCCATTCATCTCAACTTACAAACCTACAGATTCAGATAGTTGGAAATAGAATTCACTTTTTGAGGAGTGTAAATATAAATAAAAGAAATTAAGGTTTTGAAAACAGAGATAAAAACACAGGATATGGGACTTGTTTCATTTTCCCCCAATTCATCTTTGCGCAATTAACTCTTCAATCTAGAAAGTGATCTTACTCACTCCAAAATACAGTACATGTTCAAACGAACTGCTTGAAAACTTCAATTCCTGCCTTGTCCAAAATGTAAAATGATCTTCATCAGTTTCTTAATTGGAAAATTAGAATGTTTTTAAGTATTCAACTCCTGTTATTTGTAAATTTTAATACTAGCAACGCAAAATGGTACAAAATTACAGTTTGTGTATACTGAAAATGGTCCTGGACACTTTCATAAAGTATAAAACTTGCACCTCATATTCATATTTGTTTTGTATAATTCAGGTTGTTCACTATAAATATATTACTATGCATTAAACATCATTTCTAAAAAAAATATATTCCACACAGAGTGGAATGTAAACTTTGGTCATGTTTTCAATTTTCTTAAAAAAGAAAGGAATGTAGACTTCAGTTCACTAATCTTTAATAGACAGGTCATTGACTACTCCCACAACATGATCCCGCCACTGCTCATTGCGTGGTTTAAAGGAGCTGCCCAAATACGATCCATTGTTGTTACAGAACTCTATTAATTTCTTCCAATTTGCATCATTGACGAGCTGATAAGGATTGCCAATAACAATCAGTAATGATTGAGCTCTAGTTACTGCCACATTGAATCGCTGAAAATGAAAAGTCAACATTTTAAAACAATGTCTTTACAATCTTTGCATACATCCAAAAATTGTCATATTCTCAGCATGTTTGAGGAAAACAACTACAGTACCAAAATTCTTAACAAACATACATTAGATCCCAATATAAAGTGCTAGGAACCACGCCCTCTAGCAGAAAACAACTTCCTTAAAAAACTTCTGATACAGCAAAACAGAATCATGAAACTAATAATCCAGTGGAATAGATACATTCCAGTGCTAGATATGTTAGACACTGAAATTTATGCCAATGAAAAAGAGAATTCAATACATGGCACTAATTTTTCTTTTTAAATTAATTAAAAATTATATAACAGGAGATTTAGTAAATAAAATCCAAAGAGTAAAAGATAAAACAACAAGGGAAACAAGACAAGCTCAACATTTAGTAATTAATTTCAGTAAACAGATTATTTAACAAAGGGTTTAAATATTACAAAAATTATATAATAAATTATTGTTAGAAATAAAAAATTGTGAATAAATTAAAGAATTTAAAAGAAAAACTATAAAATACATAAATGTAGACAATTTATTTTGTAAATAGTTAAATAGAGTATACCTACAGATGCAAACAATGTATGTAAATGTGTGTTTAAAATAGCCCAAAAGGCTAAATATTTCAATCTATCTATGAATAGCAACCAAAACAAATGTACAAAATCTTATTTATGCTCAGGCAAATCAAGATTGGTCATGTCTTAACAATATTTATGACTAAAATGAAAACGAGACCTTCATCAAAAGTATTGCTATCAATACATCCAATAAAATACAAAATGTAAGACAAAAACAACAAATATTGTAATGATACCAAACTCAAATATTTGAAGAAAAATTCAATGTGGTGTTGCAACTGCACATACTTCCTTGCACTATTTGTAACTTTTACAATTTTAAAATTTGAGCATTCCAAGAACACTGATCCAGTGTCATTTTTAGAAGTGTTCTATGACTTGTTTGAGGCAAAAAAAATAGAGCCCTTTTTGAAGATGTTTAAAAATTACATTCACTTCAAGCAAACAAATATATTAAAATTGTTCATATTTGTCTAAAAATTGTACCCAAGGTTATTTCCAGATTTACATATTTTGATGAGATTTTATAAAGGGAAGAAATTTAAAAATATACATATAAATTTAAAAAAACTCAATTCAATATTAAAGTTTTGCGATTCTGAACTATTGCAATTTTTAAAAATTCAGAGAGCTCTAAGAAAATTGGACCTGCATAATTTTTAATAGCTTATATGGAGAAAAAAGAAGGAGAAGGAGAAGAAAAAAAGGAGAAGAAGAACAAGGAGGAGGAGGGGAAGAAGTAGGAGGAGGAGCAGAAGAAGAAGGAGAATAAGAAGAAGAAGGAGAATAAGAAGAAGGAGAAGAAGGAGAAGAAGAAGGAGAAGAAGAAGGAGAAGAAGAAGAAGGAGAAGAAGAAGGAGGAGAAGAAGAAGAAGAAGAAGGAGGAGAAGAAGGAGGAGAAGAAGGAGGAGAAGAAGGAGAAGGAGAAGAAGGAGGAGAAGAAGAAGGAGGAGAAGAAGGAGGAGAAGGAGGAGAAGGAGAATAAGAAAAATAAAGAAAGAAAGAAGGAAGGAAAGAAAGAAAGAAAGGAAGGAAGAAAGGAAGGAAGAAAGGATGGAAGAAAGGAAATATTCAAAATATCATGGAGGCTTCATTGAAAGTACAAAATAAGTGCTTAGAGGCTTCTTTAAAAGTACCACAAAATCAAAAATATCTGTTTCAAATTCAAGAGTCTATTCATCTACCAGGTTGATCAGAGTTTATGAATTTTTGTGACAATGGTTTGGACCTGTGGCTTGGCCACTACCATAGTACATGGACAGATGGAGATTTTGCCGTAAACCAATAAAGAACCCAAAAATCATGAGTTCTGAATTCACTATGTGTTTGAGGAAATTATTTATACACAAGCTAATATAAAGATATAATAACAAGAAATAGATTGTACTAAGGCGTTGCCATCTATGTTAATGTAATTGTAGTAAAAAAGTAAGAAAAAAATGGAAATATTGCAATTTAAATTCCAGAGGTTTTAATAAAAATCAGATGTATGCTACATTATCAACCAAACTCTTCTCTATTTAAGCAAAACATTTGAAGAAACATATTTCGAACGGTTTTTGAGAAAATGTTGTTTACAAACATTTTAAAAAAATGACACGATTTCACTGATAATTATGCAAAAATTACACAATTTCCAAACAATTGTTTTATTTATTTTATTTTATTTTGGAAGAACAGATGTCATGAAGAAAAAAATCTATATTTTCAAAAAAAGTACTTAGTTGTAGGAAGAAGTTGAAAAAAAGTTGACTCTTGCAGTTTTTGACATTTCAAAGGTTTTATTGAAATACTTTTTGTCCTCTTTGAAAATGTAATGGAAAAGGTAACCCAACTCATAAATGTAAATCATTTACACTGGTAACTCAAAAGCATATTTACTGTATGTACTGAATGAATCTTTATTAAAATTATACTACACGATGCTGGTCAAAATTGTTGACCAGCATTGTGTAGTGTAAGTCCCACAATCACAATCAAAGGAATAATTTTTATCATGATGATTAGACCCCGGTTTTTTATGTAATTACGTATTTTTGTCTTTCTACTTACTGTTCTCAAAACCAATCTTGGCGAACCGCCGCCATACTAATACAATATCCAATTTTTTCATTACATATTTTGCTATTTTCACAAAATATATTTTTATTTTAGGTTATACATATTTTTTATGTAAAGTATTTAAATAAATCATAATTTTTTTCTCACATTTTTACTGAGTGATGTCGAATCGAGATGCACTACATTAAGACACAGTCAGATGTTCTTACAGTCCAGAACGCTAGCTTCAGTTATCTCAGAGGCAGGACATGCGAGTCAGTGACTGTGATCATTTTAGCCTTTAGGTGTGAAAAGTATCACTGACGCCAATCTTTAACATTAATTTCAGAGAAACTTTGGCGATCGCAGATGTGTAACACTTCAATGAGAATGCTGCTCGCTATAGGGAATGTTTGCTGCTCAGAGATATCGTTAGTTTGTGCTTCTATTGCGATTCTATTGACACTTTGTGATTTGCGATTGCTAAATTACCGTTCTGGATAGCAATAGATGAAATTATTATTACCGACAGGAGTGTTGTATGGCAAAAAATGTGCATTAACTTGTCCTCTTCAAATATTTTAAAAATATTTGTTTACTTTTTAAAATGTGTTTAGTACATTTTCGATAAATTTAATTTTGTATTAGGTAAATGTGTTTTATAAAAAGTGTATTTTAATATTACACATATCTAATTTTTCATATTTTTTTTTACATATTCTCACTGTTTTCATTACGTATTTATGTACATTTTTTGACATTTCATACTACATATTTTTCCAGTCTCTAATGATGATGATGATGGATCATGAAGTTGATTACCATAACCGCCACAGCTTTTATATAATAATAATAATAATAATTATAATAATAACAACAACAACATATCCAAACACAATACATGACCATTAAAAGATAAATTAAAAATCTCTCCATATACCTTTGGATCAGCAACAAAACCAAGTCGGAAGCGGTAATCATAATCCAAGAGATTTCGGTTAGAACGTACTGTGGAAATTATCATTACACGTTTTTCACGGCCTTGGAAAGTTTCTGTTGTGCCGACCTCTACTTCATCCCATTTCTGTTGTTTCAAAGCATGTTTTATTTTGTAGACCTGCAATGCAGAAGTTACCTGGTTAATAAAACATGAAAGTTTTATTTATATGCAATAGATTGATTTTATAAAACTAAACATATTCTACAATACACAATTAAATTATAGGCTGATAAACGGTTTCAAATACCTGTCTAATGTAAGGAGCAATAATTCCTATATCTGAAGGTTCTACTTTGATGTCTTTTATGGTTCTAAGTAGCAGGTGCATGTAATTCATCACCTGATCGGTTTCATACAAATTGAAGTAGCTTGGGAAAGAAAGATATTTTATTACACATATATTCAATATAAAATTGCTCTTAATTAATCTTAAATATATATTATAATTATAATATATATTATATAGAAATTGCGACACGTTCACCCCCCCCACACACACACACACACAGATTTGACGAACTGAAATACGTCATCTCACCTTGGAGAGCGCCCTTCTCTTTTTTCTTGGCCAATTACTCCATGGAAAATAACCGCACATGACTGCTTTGCTTTGCCATTGGGCAAAATCTTGCGCCGAACAGGATCCAAGCGCACAACATCTGAGCAAGCAGGCTGCAGGAACATACAAATCATTCAGTGATTTGCACACAAGAAAAAAGATTAATAACTGAAAAACTGCATTAGGGTTCAATAGTAATTGAACTTTTCATGAAGACTTGTGCTGCAAATATGTGAGACAATATGAATGAAATTCATAAAGAAAGTGAATAGCTTGTTGCAGTTTGTATCTTCATTCCTCAGCAGTAACTTCATTATACAATATTCAATACATGCATTTCGTTGCTTGGTTGACTATTCAAGAAATCTCTTTTCACTTCTACACAGAACGTGCTTTCGGGGATATAAGGTGGTGATTTGAAGAGAAAGGTAAGCTTAAAAATCTTGGTATTAAAACAGTTATTGGGCTTATTTCTACATTCCTCTACTTACAAATTACTTTTACAATAACTTCAATATTCAGAGCTAATAGCAATGGGTGATTGGTTTTCAAAAAAGTTGTGGTAACTATGTGGATTGTAATTAAATATTCATTTTATCTTCTTGTGCCTTCTGTAAGTGAAGTTGTATTTCATACAACTGCTTAATACACAATTTGGAAGATCATTAATATATTTGACTGCGGTAAGAATACTTCTGAATCACAACATACACACATGCACGGGTTTAAGATAAAATCCTAAAACACGATACTAATCGATTTACCTTATCACTAGTATTTCTTTGGTAAGGAATAGTCTTGGAAAAACCTTAAATAGCAGATAAAATGTATACTTAACATTAATGTAATAAATAATATTATTAACTTCTTAGCATATCTACTATAAGAAAATACAGCAATATTTTGTGAGAAATACTTAATATTTAGGGATTACACGATATCATGCAATTGCATATTTCTTCTGTTTATCCAGAGAAGACAAGTTCTGTTTTCTGGCCAAATTGGAGTCTCTAAATGTTTACTTCTCTCAAATTAATTTATTTTTCTCTTTTATTCTCTTGAACACTATTCAATGAATTACAAAGGAACCATTGCAAAAGAAAGGTGAAATATTAAAAAAAATTGATAAGAATAAGAAGCTTCAATGACATTCTAATTCTCAAATATCTGATTTTGTGAATTAATCAGGTGCTTGTCCCTCTACTGCTTCCTTTTTTACCATCGTTTAAAGTTTGGGATCAGTTGCATATTTATGACTTTTTCACCTCCCCAAAAGGGCAATTTTAACAGCAAATATTTTTTATCTTTCTTTTGTTTTTACTACACATTTTGGCACTTATACCGCATAAAGATATGAGCTCTCACAATAATGAACTTCAAAGAAATTCTCTTTAAAAGTTTTTTATCAACACCAAAGCAGATATTATTTTATTGCTGTATGGATTCTCTTATATATTCCTTCTTACTGAATGTTAATATTGTTCATGCAAAATCAGGTTTCTAATGTATTTTCATAACAACCAAACAATAGTTGTGTTACTGAAACCTTAGTTTATTGTTACATTACCAAACTCTTGCCACATAATTTCTAGATTAGTTCGAGTTCTTCAATTTTTATTTTTAATTTTTTAATACCTTCGGAGTGTTTAAAAATAATGTTCTTTGATCAATTATTAGTTTTTTTGTAACACACTCATCCTGTTTATGGCTATGATTTCATTTTAATTTTTGTTATTTTCATATTCTGTTCTTCCATATTTTCAATCATTATGCATATATTTTTTTCTTTTTGTAAAGAGTTCCTCCCGTTTACTGAAATAAATATTGAGACAAGTGCTACAGAATGGTACAAACTTTCTTGTATTGGTTAGTTCTCTAATTTTTTGGTCTGGGCTTTCCAGTGTGGGTTAGCTTTCCGGTCTTGCTCTCTCCTTTTGCCAGAGGCCATCTATCACTGCAAAAGGTACATATTTACTTTCTCTTATATGTACGTATATACAGAGTAATATACATAGTATAGGAAAGGTTATGTCATGCTGCGGAAAATTCATTTTGAGATTTATATAGAAATACAAGTGTTCAGGACGCCTGATTCCAAAAGAGTGGTCTTTTTCCAAACGTATATAATGTATGTAACGTCTGTCCGTCGGCTTACCTGCCCCCCAGGGGTGCTTTACACGAAACACCCTGGACATTCTCAAAATTTTCTCAAAAACCGTTCCAAATTTTTTAAAAAAATTTGTTGTAAGAATGGACTTTCTAAATACACAAAACGGAATGCACTTATGAAAGTGGAAAGTGTCCAATTTTCAAAGTTAACTTTTAATTTTCAAAAACTGCAAACATGTGAATTTTTTTCCGCGTCTTCCTACAACTACAAAATTCAAGATACAAGGTCTTTCCTTCATATAAAATTTGTTGTATACAATTGGTTCTTCCATTAATGTCACATACAATTTTTATAAACATTTTTTGCGAAATACTGTGAGCAATGTTAAACAATAACAAAAACATGGTAATTTAAAAAATGCCTCCAAATATTTTTGTCAAATTTTTAGTAGGGATAGTGCTAAATGCACTCTATAAGATGACATAAATGTCATATTGCCATACTCTCATTTTTCAAAAATTACAAAAATGTTTTTTTAATTGTCTCTCAACATTGCTAATTGTGAGTATGTTTATGTGACAACATAATTGTGAGTACAAGGTAAGTTGTGAGTACATTAGTATCGATTTATTCACATTATTATATTTGTGAGTACATGTGCCTTAAATATTGTCATTTCTCGTGAAAATGAGCTAAAAATTCAGCATTTCCTGAGACCCTGAAGCACCATTTTCTCAAATATGAGTCAAACATTTTTCTCAAATTTTCCAACAGATAGTGCTCATTGCACTCATGATGTAAAGTTCATTTTATTGTATTCTCTTACATTTAAAAAAAAAATCCACAAATGTAATTTTTTTTTAATTTTCCAACTCCGTTAATATGGACATATCCGGCAAATACTACTATTGTATTTGTGAGTTAAAGTGCTTCAAAGGAGTTTTAATGAAGTTTTTTCAACACTTGCAAATTTTGTGTGAAAAGGAGGTTCAAATTTTCGAATTTACAGAAGCGCTTAAATGCCATTTTCTTAAATAGGGCTTCAAATTTTTTTAATGAATATTCCCAATTAGGAATAAAAGAATATGCCCATTATATTATTAGGAAACTGAAAAATTAAGAAAATTTCAAAAATATGTACTTAGGGCAACAGTAGGCTGGATGGCAGCAGCAAAAGATGTGGCAAGTTTGTATCGCCTAGCAGTGACCGAAGGAAATATAAAACTAATACAGGAAGGTCTGTACTATTCTGTAGCACCACTAGTTTTGAAATGTTTTCAATTTTTTGATTTTCTAATTGAACTAGAAAATCACTTCAAGAATATCATAGAAGGGTGAAACTTGTTCTCATATATGAAAATTTTATGTTGAAAAATTTGGAGGCATTTTTAAGAAAATGATATTTAAGCTTTACTGTAAATTTGAGGTCTTTCTTCCCAGAAAAAACTAATTTTTCAAGAAACTTCTTTGGAAGCCATTTACAGCACTTCTACTCATAATTGCAATAATGTATAGAAATTGCTGGAAAGGTGCATAACAATTTTCAGCTCATTTTCACAAAAAACATTTTAGTTTTTGAGAAACTTTATAAGACATCATTTGAAGATATCGTTTTGACCAATTCAACAACAAAATTATACTAATCACCGATGTAAGAGAGAGATGTCAAAAAAATTACAATAATTTTTGAATTTGAATATAAAGAAAAGAACAGAGCAAAATCCAGTTTATGTCACCATTAACAATATTCCTACCAAAAGTTTAAAGTCAATTATTGCAATATCGCAAATATTTGACACAATATTGCACGAAAAATTTTCAAAAATATGAATATGACATTAACGAAAGGACTAATTATGGAGAACAAATTTAATTTGACAGAAAAATACTCTATCGTCAATTTTATTGATGTAGGAAGACCCAGAAAAAATGTAGAACTTAGCAGTTTTTGAAAATTTAGAGTTAACTCAAAATCAGAATGCCATCTTTAGAAGTGTATTTTGCTCTCTTCTTACAAAATATTTAAAGAAAAAATTGCCATTTTTGATGCTTCTTTAATCACCTCTAAAAATCAACAAAAGTTATTCCAAATCGCAGAGCTTTCAGAGAGGACAGATCGACCAGGAAGTATGCAGTTTGGAAAATGTCTTAAGTCTCGTTAAGGCTTTAGTGTTGTTCAGATGGATGAATGTTTTGAGAACACTTTTTCAGTAGCAGGAAACACCAAAACATGTATATCTTTGAAATCAATTTGCTGGATTTGCCCAAGTCCATTGCAATGCACACTGGACATGAATGGGTGAAGGTGATCAGACAGGAGGCTTATGTATGTGTCACCTGTTAAGAGTCGTATCTAGGAGCATTAGGGGTCCCATATCACTCCAACGCACACACCTCATACCATTACAGAACCTTACCAGCTTGAACAGTCCCCTGTTGACATGCAGAGTTCATGGATTAATGAGGTTGTCGCTATACTCGTACACATCCATTCGCTCAAAACAACGTGAAATGAGATTTGTCACTGATTCCAGTCATCAACAGTCCAATGTCGGTGTTGAAGGGCCCAGGAGAGGCGTAAAACGTTTGTGTTGTGCAGGTACCAAGAGTTCACGAGTAGGACTCCGAAACCCCATATCAATAATGTCTCGAATCGTTCACATGCTGGCACTAGTTGATGGCCCAGCATTGAAATCTGCAGCAATTTGCAGAAGGATAGCACGTCTGTCATGTATTAGTCGTCGTTGATCCCATTCTTGCTTGATCTTTTAGTGGTAGTAGTGATGCGGGACGTTTGATGTTTCATTTATTCATTCATTTATTTATTTAAGTAATATATAGGCCAACAGTACACTCTGATGTGGCATGAATTGGTATTAACATAATTATTTTTGACGTATTCAAGCCAATATTGATGTACTCTTTTGTGGTTAATTTTTTTTTTTTTAAATATAAATCACAAATTGAAACAGTGACAAATTTTTCAGAATATCAGCCTATGACTTGGGATAGGAAGATCCATATATAAAACATGAATATATTGACTTGACTCTGCAATTGCACATTCCTTCACTGAGTTCTCAGAGAGACTTGAATGGCTTGTTCTTTTTGAGAAAACTGTTATTGGGTGAGGTCAACTGCAAAATCTTGCAAAACCAGGTAGTGTACAAAACACCTAACTTTAATTCTAGAACCAAAGATAGTTTTGATATTAGATTTTACCGTCAATCTTACACAGCAAATAGTGTTAAAATCGATGTTGCAAATCAGTCAACAGTTTGAATATTGATAAATGTGAAACAGATAAATCTGCTTTTTTATCACTAGCGAGCAACAAAATCTTTAAATTTGAATGAGTAGGCGTGGTAGAGCTACTGTCATACCAGATATAGTTATTATTGAATGCTTTTCTTTATAAATGTTTCTATTTTTATAATTATGTTGGTACATGCAAATTTTTTATTGTATTCTTTTTGCAAACAATGGACTTGTCTGTTTAATAATAAATAAATATCACAATGCTTCATATCACGTGTAACGGTAAATATCACATATCACAATAATTGACCCATTCTTGAAAAGGAGGAACTAAGTCAGAATATCAATGAAATCCATGGCCTTCCTCATTGAAGAGACCACTATAAGCTCTTTTGAACATTTGAAGATTAGGTGCCATCACCATGTTCTGTGGTATGTTCCAGGTGTCGACAACTTGGTTACCTATGAAGTTCTTGTACTGCATTAGATTATGTCTAGATTTTACAAGCTTCCTGTTTCAAACATGTCACCGCGTTGTCTCTTAGCAGCAAGAGTTGGAAGCCCGAGTCTTGTCAGTCATTGATTATAAGCCATGTTCTTGAGGTCTGTAGGGATGTGTGTGGCTCTCCTTTGTACATTTTTCAGCAGATTTATATCTTTAAGAAAGTAAGGATTCCAAATCACGGTGCCAAATTCAACTATCGGGAGAATGAAGGTGAGTGAGGTGAATACATCGCTTCTTATTGTGTTAAAAGGCTTTATGCAGCGTGAATATGGCCTTCTTAGCCTTTTATGTGATGTTACTCATGTGGTTTTCTCATTTGAGGTTGTTAGAGATCATAATCCCTAATTCATCATGAACTTGATTTCAGGCAAGTTTCTTCCACCTATTTTGTAATTTCACTTTAGGTTGAATCTTATGTGCATGACCATACATTTTGTTTCATTCAGGGGTAACATGCAAACTCTGAACCACACATAAACACAATTCAAGTCCTCTTGAAGGTAGACATGATTCACCAGAAGGTTAGCATAGAATGTGGTGTCATCTGCATACATCTTGAAGTGGGAGAGCATACCGTTTGGCTGATCGCTGGTATACAGGAAGAATAAGATCGATCCCAATACCAAGCCCTGGGGAACTCTACACTCTTCGGTGATAACTTATTTTTTCAATTCTCATGCTCACGGTAATCCTCAAGGAAAGCCTGTATCCAAAGCAAAAGAATCCCCCTTATGCCAAGTGAGCAAGTTTGTGAAGCAACCTCCGGTGCTGCACCTTGACGAAAGCAATGGAGAAGTTCAGGTACATAATATATGTAGGGTTGCCATTATCAAGATCCATTGTCCAGTTTTGCAGTGAAGATAGTAGGTTTGTAGATCTCCCTGGTATGAAGCCATGTGTTGGTATGTGCACAGTTCTCATAGTCCCACTAGCTTGAGTATCTTGACTGCCAGAACCAGCTCTTGACTTTGCATATCAAGCAGGTCAAGCTAGTGGGCTTATAGTTAGCAGGATCTAGCTTACTACCTTTCTTGAAAACTGGTGTAAAACTCCGGAGTCAAGGGAGTCTTAGAAAATTAGAGCTGGAGCAAATTCTTGAGCGCATTCTTTCAGTACAAAGGGTGGAATACCATTTGGACCAGCAGAAGAGTTGGGATCTAGCGATACAAGGATGTTGTAAACATCTGCAACATTTAAGTCAATGTCTTCCAATGTTTCCGTAGATGGAGGTGAGGATGGATGGAAGAGAATCTTTTGGTTCCAACGTGTAGAAGTTTCAAAAACTTTCTGCAAAGTCCTCAGTAACATCACTAGGATTCAAAGCAATTTCCCCATCCTCTTTCTGGAGGGTATGTGGGATAGAAACTTCGGAATAAAACTGTCTGCATATATACGAGGACAAAGCTACCCTACGCCTTGGCAATATTTTATTCATAATATCTTCTGTGCGGACGAATATCATTTAATATTGCGTTGCGTATATATATATATATAAATGTGTGTGTGTGTGTATATATATATATGCCTTTAATTTAAATATTTACTTTAAAATTATTTATAATATGCTTTTAAATTTCTCCTGAAGAAGCAGATGTATTAATCTATGTAATGTTGTGTCAATGATTTTGATAATGAATGTTACATTTTATAAAGTTTTTGGGGACAGTCATTTTTTGATTGTCTTGAAAATATACCTCATACTTGATTCAGCTTGAATTCTTTTACTATTTCATCTAGTGCTCCAAACATAGTATTTCACTTGCTTAATTTTTTGAAGAAAAGAAATTATTTCACCCTGTGGTTCCTTTTTTAAAAGAATCTCTTAGATTGAATGATAGTTATTAATTATCATCCAATCTAATTTGATCCCTCTCCTGCTTTGCTGTCTGCATATTGCATTAATTGTAATTGACCCAGTAAGTCTGAATTCTTTCAAATGTAAACATTACACACATGCACACTTATGCATACATTGTATATACGTTGTAATATAGTATCACAAATTACTTGTTATGTAAATACTGTATTTTATAAACAAATAAAAATTGTCACAGTTCTAGGTATTCTAGTTAAAGAATTCAGACCATCTGGTGTGGAGAAAAGACACATATCTACTTTCAGTACAACTGCATGATAAATTAACACACAATGAAATCATACTCATCCAAAAAAGATAAAAATGTATATATTATGTGCCAAAAAATGCTCTTATAAAATACTGACAATAAATTTGTTTCCAATTTGTAGTATTGGAAAGAAATAACATGTCTTATAGTTTGTAAACAAAACAAACAAAAACTATTGAACAAAGGTCAGTTTCATTTGTAACAAATGTTTATTCACAAGCAAATCGTGTACTTACTATGAGTTCACCAGAATAAAATAATTTGTTTGGTAGATCAATAATATCTGGATGTGAACGGAAATTCTTGAGTAATTTAGTTATGTATCTGTTATCATAAGTACCATCAGCACCCTTCTGATAAAGAGAGCATGTCACCATCAGACGCTCCAAAAGAGAAATTCCTATAAACAGAAGAAAAACTTATTATTGAAAGATTTGCTTACAACTTTTGGATGATTTTTTTTAATGCAACCACAATATTCTTCAGAACCATATTGTGCTTTACGTTATTTTCTTTTTTTAATTAAAAACTCATATCTCTAAAATGTTCGACAAAGCACTAAGTTTATGTGTGGTTACTTGCCCCAGTTCTTTTATTTCCGGTCTTTTTAATTGGGTGTAAGTTGGGATGGACAATTTCTTTTGATGCATTTTGGACCTCAAGAAAATTTGTCCATTTGAATTTCATTTCATTTAAAAGTATTTTAAAGCCCTCTCCCAAGTCCCTCTTCTCCCTCAACTCATGGTTGTTCCCATTTGGTTCATTTTATCCACTTCATGTAACTGCCATGCTACATATGCTTCTGTACTGGTTGATGTACATATTTATCAACTTTGTTCAATGTATTATCTTTTGGTTTTTAAAATGGTGAGTGTTCTCATGTTATTTTATATTGAGTGCTAGTGTTTTATAATAACGGCATCATTAGTATTAACATCAGGAACTTGCATTTATTCTCTTTAAAAAAAATTATTTCTCTTAAATTCACAGTCACCTGATGATGGGAAAAATTCATATTCTCAATAGA